TCTGTAACACGTCTTTGTACTTACAACTCTGTAAATGCAACACAAAGTTGATGCACTGCAAGTCATAAACAGTGAACTATTATCACTTATCATTAAATCTGGGCTCTAAAATCAAAGGATGTGATATCACACATCGTGTAAATTATTTAACACTGTTGTTACAGTGTTTGGGACCCATAACAAGCGAGTAATTTGTTTTCTATCTGAGATTATTATTAGCAAGGTTTTCAAGAACTCAAAAGAGTCCTGCGAGTTCTAGTTAAAATGAATCTAGTGCCAAGTATTGTCTGCCTACGAAATTCTAAGAAAATCTGAATTCACTCATAGACTCGATACGAGTAGGGTTTTTTAAACTTAGAACACAAGCACACTCAATTGACATGTTTCTGAAACCCCATTATACCGTAACAAAAATAGACTCATTAAATCATGGTCAAGCCATGAAAAGAGCTGATTAAAAGGATCGCTGTGTAAGTATTAGATCCAATTTGTATTGCAGTACAAATTGTACCAATTGATTTTAGCATCAATGTTGTTAACATCGCTCTTAACCAGCTCGTCACATCTAACTGGCGCTTTCGTTGTATTTTCACCAATAAAATGAAAGACAGAGCTCCAGTGACAGGGTAATCGGTCGTCCTTGTTGTGATGGCTTGGTATGGGATGTGGAGGGGTGTACAGAGAATGGGGTAACCCAGTTCATTCAGAGATAGAGAAGACTTAATTTTCCACAAAATTTGGCTCTATAAAGACTGTGTCTAGAATGTGCCAAATTTGGGACACAAAATATCGCATTAAGCGTGTAAAATGAGCCCACAATAGGGAGACAGGATTACTTCTATCTTCAGGCGTTATTCGTATAACTGAATATATCATTAAGGAAATTTGTATATCTATCCTGAAGATGGAAGCAGTATGCTGCTCCGAAACTTTGGTGTCTATTTATACGTCTACATGGCGTTACAACTCGGAAGGCCAACATAATTAATAGTTCTGGCTTACTTTACTCTGTGAACTGATTTTATACGTGCAGAAATATATTCCAATTGAAAACATCGCTGTACAGTAGTGAATGAATGTTTTTCCTTACGTCATATGCCCTGTAGCGCGTATTTTGGCCACGTTTATCTATAGAGCGTGAACCACTACTACACGAACGATAACAAAGAAAACAGAAATTAAGTTAAGTGGGCAGCGTCTTTTATCAGAACTGAATTCGTTTTGTATCCACGTTTGCCTTCAGAATTTGATGTGTTATTCATGAAAATGTGTGCAGCACAGTTAAGAAGTATAAATCGTGACGGAAAACTTTCCTGCCTGAAAATTTTAATTTGAATATGAGCTATATAGAAACCAATATCACACGTTGGTACACAAAACATTACAAGACATAATTAGTTATGCTCGGTGTTTGATAAAAATTCAAATATGACAAAAATAAACATTATTTGTGGGTTCTGCGTCATACAGACTGTCCCAGTGTTAAGTAACTCCATGATGCAGGGTATATATTTGTAAGCTTAATATATGATCACTTTGTCAACTAAATTTATAGAACTCGAAGTTTAATTGTCGTAGAGACAAAGTCCAGCCTTTATACCTTACCCAGATTAGGTTGAGTCTGGTTTATATCCAGGACCAATTTTAATATTATACTCCCATGTGTATCCGTATCACTCAAGTTGCTTTTCCATTGAGGTTTTCCGAGGTCTGTAAAGCAAGATATTGACAGTATCATTAAATAACGCAAAGACGTATACACACAATCCTCCTCACAACCTATTACATGTCCCTCGCAATCGAATGACCATAATTTCGTTACCATAGCAACACGGTAGGAATTCCGTAGTCAACATTCATTTTCCTTCTTCAGTTAGCTTTTGAAAGTTCTTGATTTGTTGTTGAAACACTGTTTTAGACTTTGTTCATTATCTGAGATAAATCAGATAAATACGACGTTTCGGGTGTTGGTTCTACTCCATACATCATACCAAGGTTTAGTCATTAGTTCGTACTAGAATAGTATTTGAAAGGTCTCGGGTTTGATCACGACCGCTGTCATTAATTCTCCTTCAGAAAGTTGTCAATATCATGACAACCGAGCGACCAGTGTTGATGCTAGCAGACAATGAAAAATCCTGTCCGTATGTTCTCAAAGTAAAGTTATATTTATTTACGAAGCCTCGCCCACTCATATTCTCATATATGAAATAAAACAATCTCATTCTAATCAAATATACCTACTTTTAACTATTACTATCACAAAATAAGGAGCGATACATTAAACAAACAACTTTCACGTGAGACTTATTTTTGAATAGACGTATTCTAGGTTCTTACGCCTTGTAGTCTGGTATAAGTTTATCGACGTTCTAGGGGACTACCTTAGTAAAATCCTCTGAAACGTCTGTCAGTATCTACTAGACCACATGTCTAAATAAAATTTAAAGTTCCAGTCCGTACCGCTAAGAAAACACCACACGTCACCATTACACAGATCAAGTGGTTAATGTCGTTTAAAGTGAGAATCATACGAAATACATTAATAATCTACACTCTGTGGTTATTGATTATTGAAGGAGGTGGTATGTATGGTTACCACTTCGGTTTAAGGGGTTAAATCAAGCAAATACCACATCATGCTGACTTCCTTCCGGAGCACAGATTCTACTTTATTATTATTCTATATTAAACAACTTCCGCGGTTGGTATAACGTGTTTAAATAACTAACTAACCAGTGTTGTAATCTGCGAACTTTCATATTGTGTTAATATATGGAAGTGATAAATTACAAATTTAATGAATCAGAGAAATCCCTTTAAGAGATGAAGGACGGAAACGTTAAGATTAGCTGAGAGGTAATTTTGGTTCTTCAGAGTTGCTTGTACTGGTGTCAATACGATAATTCGCCCGGGTTACGTGAAGGGAGGTCTTGTAGGAATGTCAGCCCTGAAGATTGTTTAATGTAACGTTTCTTTGTCTGCAATTTAATGAAAGGTTTGAGGATGTAGCTTGCTGGCAGGAATTAATTATGTTCAGAAATATATTCATATAATCCAAAACGCTTTGTTGGTAATTAAATCAATTTGAGACTGCGAAAATCATTATGAATTTATAGACGTAGAGACATAAATGGAATTATTACAGACCTCACAGAGTGTTGTATGTAGTTTCTACATTGTAAACCCGATAAATTAACTTACGGTTTTAATTAGAAATTTAATCTATAATTTCCTTCAGTTCTGTTCATTTACGCGTCGAACTGGGACGCTTTTAGATGGAAGAGATTAGACAAAAGATTCTAAACTCAATCACGCTATCAGAGAATTGGTTCACATATCAGAGGTGATTTGAAAGTTATGCGGAGGTCGTAATATCCTCTCAACTTTCGATCAGAGTCGGTTACAATACAAGGCAAAGATACATCACCAATCGCTTTTTCCTTTCGTTTTTAACGTAGTTTCGTCATTTAGGCTGTAATTGTCTGCACATTGAATTACAACGTAAAGGACAATTACACTGTCTGTAATACCCAGAGAATTTTTAAAATTTGTATATAAAATTACTTCATGGACAAAAACAAACAAACATTCATTTCAGTAGTGACAGAATGTTAATGCATGAGAAACGAATTGTTTAGGTGGTAACTAAATATTTTGTCTTCCCGTCTGATTTCTAAGAACCTGAAAATTAAAGTATACAGAACAATAATCTTGCCTGTTGTTTTGTATGGGTGCGAAACATGGTCTCTCACTCAGAGGGAGGGACACAGATTGCAGGTGTTTGAGAATCGGGTGTTGAGGAGGATCTTTGGGCCTAAGAGGGAAGACGATGGGGCGTGGAGAAAACTGCACAATGACGAGCTTAAAAATCTGTACTGCTCCCCCAGTATTGTGAGGGTGATTAAGTCGAGAAGAGTGAGATGGGCGGGACATGTAGCGCGCATGGATGGGACAAGAGGTGTGCACCGGGTACTGGTTGGGAAACCTGAAGGGAAGAGACCGCTGGGGAGACCTAGACGTAGATGGGAGGATAATCTCAGGCGGGATCTATGGGAGATAGGAGTTGACAGAGACTGGATTTTGTTGGCCCAGGACAGGGTCCGGTGGAGGGCTTTGGTTAATTCGGTGATGAACCTTCAGGTTCGGTAAGCCATCTAGTTAGTTAGTTAGTTAGTTGTTACAGTGTGATAGCTTGATGTATCAAATAGTTGTCAAACAACAAAAACAGCAGTGGGCATTTAGCATTGATGCAGACAAGTCTGCTGGAGAAACATATACAAGCAGCATAGATAATTCTAACTAGAATTAGCAGACCAGGGTAAAATAAATTAACAAAGCAAATTCTCACCTATATAGAATTTCTCATGGAATAATATGGGCTGGAGATCTTGGCTGGTGAAACTTCAACAGTTCGGCTACTGTAATGGCTACTTGGACTAAACCTCTGCCTTCAAGGACATCAGATGCACAACATATCAAACCCTAAAACAGGAGGAAACAAACTAGATCAAACTAGAACATTGCACTTTATTAATAACCAAATCTAATATATACCACAAATCAGTTTTCCAAGACACGGAGATGACATGAACATCAAAACTCCATCACTATAACAAGTGTTTCTATACAGAGAAAAAAGTAGAATAAGACGTCATTTATTACACAATCATGAGGAAGTTAGAGTCATGCCTACAGCATCATAATTCTGTGTGCAATGCCACAATTCCTGCACTTTCATACAGTCTTTATTCAACACAACTAAAATCAGTCTATTTCAAATGGTGCATATCAAAAAACACAAAATTTATGTTAAAGTAATGTCACAAGAAGAAAAGAAGGCTGGAGGTGTGACAGCAGAAAAACTGATTGGTCTGAATGTCTCATCCCATGGTAATACACAATTAATTGGAATAAACAATAAATCAAATTACTTCAACAAAGTCAATGTAACAATATAACATTCCCCAACTTATGAAACAAAATAATATGCCACAACAAATAATCAATATTTTTATTAACATCTGGAGACTTTAAACATATTAACCTAATGTCTATAATGTTTGACAATGCCTGTACTTTAGTTTTCACTGTTCATTCAAGGAAAACTCTGTGTATTAAGGAATTTCTTTGAAACACATTCTTCCTTAAGTTATTTTATTACAATTCATGTGTATTACAGTTTTGGAAGTGTTGTAAACAAGCACAAATACCAAATCTTAACACACAAAAAATAAGAAGCACAATATAAATACATAAATAAAATCAACAAATAAGCTAAATAAATACAATTGGAAACATGGCAACATATGCTGGAATAAATTGCCCAATTACTAGTTCAGTACAACACAAACTGGATGAGTTCTGTGTAAACTGGACATTCTGCAAGCCATAATTAATTCAAGCCCTGAAAAATTACAGTATTTCCTCTACATCAAGATGCCAATGTTTGTAAAACACACCCTTGATTCAGTAACAGGTTTTTAGGAGAAAATATACTATTTTGATTGATCTTAAACACCATCAAATAAGATATCTTGATTTCAGAAATTTTAAAATGCAAAAAAAGTGTCTTAAAATTGTGAAAATATGGTAGTTTAATTTTCCTCCTAAATCTCAACATAAAATTAATAATATCAAGTAGCACTGCTATGTGAAACTGAAATTCCACATTTAACATAACTGGTATATTTCAATAAAGTGTTGTTTACAGATTGGATGTCTGGATGCCTAATGTCAAGAATATCTTCATACAGTAATACATTTGCAAACTTCTTTTATCCCAATGATGAAACTTTTTTTTTAAAATTCACGATACTGTGAGCATTTCTGCTACACTGAATCTAATAATTTCAGGGTAAAAAACTGTGTTCTTAGGTCAATGAATAAGACTTACTTTAGAAATTCATACTGGCACATACATTTCTACAAAGATATATTGATGTTGAATTTGCTTTTGGGTGCTCAAACCATATAGAAGTTGGTTTACTGATGATCTTTCAGAGGACCCTACTGACTCAGCTGCATTATATCAGAATCAGGTCATGGGAATTGGCCATTCAGAGTCAAGGATAAGACAAGGAGACACAGCTGTGTCCTGGCAAATGGGAGAGCCCAGAGCCCTCTGTGGGGCCGAAGGAATGCTGGGACGGGCAAGAGGGAAAACCAGAAATACTAGCCCAGGGATCAAGGAGAAGGTATAGATGATTTGAATGGCACATCATAAAAATATGATTATAACTTTTCATAAGCAATGGTAAGATATCCCTAAAACTGTAGTGCTAATTTAAGGAATTTAATCGGAAAGTTCTGTTACATTTCACTAAATAATCAAATATGATTGTATCCAATATGTAGATTTATTTAAATACACATGACTGAAAAGCAATTTCAGTCATAGCACATAACAAAAAAAAGTTAATGGTAGCTAATGAGTTAATGCCTTTCATCAGCAGGTTTCCTGACATCAGAAATGCCCTCATTGGCACAATTTTTGAAACACCCAGCACAAAGCATCAGTATAGTATAGTATCAGTATAGGGATAAACTGCACCAACCATTGATTTTACTAAGTTATTGGATAAGGCATTAATAAACTACTGAATTATATTACTATTTCAACATTACTGAACAAAATTACTGTCACAATAGTCACAAGGCATCCAGACACTCCTTCCAAGCATGCTTCACAAACCACACTGGATTCTGCTGACATTTGCATGTTTTGCCACAGACTTTGGTTTATCTTGTGATACTTAACCCACTAAAATTGTTCCATGAAGGCACAAAACATGCAAAAGAAACACAGAAAGGGATTCCAATTAAGCAGAAGGTAAACCAATGATTTCCTCACCAGTTTATATTGTGCACCTCTCAGTAGCAATTCTGCACAGACTGGATACAAAAATATCAGTCAGTAACAATTTAAAACTTCTCATAACTACCCCTGCAATCCAGTACAATATATCCATCCTTGTAGGTAATCAATGAAGTTTCATCAATTCATACTTCTAGCTTACACAGTGCAATGTATGTTACAGTCCTGAGATCACACAAGGGTTTAATAAACACATTCTTCCTGCCTTCCCATGAAAACACTAAGTCATTACAGTCATCAGTTTACATACTCATTACATGATTGTGACATGTCACCAAATATACACTAGCATCGTTGCTCAAAGTGAAGAAGTTCTGTGTAATAAGAAACTGTAGTCTGTTTCCAGTTATCAATGAACATAAACTTTGTTGTGAAGTAATATTCAGTACAATTTACACCATATTCAAAGACATGCATTGAAACTACCATGTTTATATACATTATACCGTTTTCCAACCTTAAAATTTAAGACACTTTTCCATAATTATCATCATGAGCTTTTATGGTAAAACATTTGCAAAGATTTCAAAAGCAATTAACTTTTTCTGTTTATTGAATGTAGGCCTACTTCTCAACACTGAAGAAATATTCAAAGCGCACGTACCTTTAAAGAAAGAGAACAGATGCAGTAAAACCTGTCTATAAGGGGCAGTGACTGCTACTAGTACGTATTACAAATCTGTAGGTATCATGTTAAAAATTCAGTTATAAAGCGTATGTTTGCATGTGGAGGGGTGGGGCTGAGAGGAGAAGAAGGGAAAGAAAGAAAAACTAAAAATACTTGCCCAGTGGATCCAACTTTAAGGTGGAACAGTTTGAAGTTTACCATCCAAGATGTGTTTCTGCTATGGCCTTCAATAGGCATTCTGCAGGGTTGTAAATGGACCAAAAAAGTGGCTGTTAAAGTAGGTTTCGCTGAACTACAGCATCAGCACAGAATTTAAGTAAATTATGGTGCATAAAAGATGATAAAGTATGTGAATTGGAGTTTTACATATCTTTTTATAATACTGACCACTATACCCTCTGAAGCTAAATATGCCAAACCTACCTTCATTGTTTACAGATATTACTGTGGCAGGATGTATGATCTACAACTTTTGCAATTACTAAATTCGATGAAGTCCTCATGAGCAAATCGGCTGCGTCATGTGGCCGTAAAAAACCCGACATTTTGAGAGCCATACTGGACTACCTGATGAGACAGGATGCAAAGTGTAGCAATTCTGTCACATGTAATTTTAAAAACATGATACATGAACATCTTACTTCAAGACTTGGATCTCATGCTCAAAATACAACTCTTAAGCAATATTAAGAATGTCTTATTCCATAATATTTTGTAAGTTCATCATTAATCTGTTGATGGTTACTTACTCAATGGTGTGTTCAGTGATTACTGTTTTATATTTGCAATTATCAATGATGTTCAAAAACCTGTATCCTATAACCTTGATAAGTAGTGGTAATATGATATTTGTAATGAACACTATCCCTGTTGTACTTTTAATGAAGGGACACACCAATATTTTCTTCTCTTTCCTCTTCTGAGCACTGTTTATGTCTAATAATTCAATCATCATAAAATGCTGATACAATTGACTTATCTTAAACAATACTGTGGTGAACACCATAATTTCCTTACAATATTTTTAACAAAATGGTTAGAATTAACATATTAATCACCAGATGCAAAAATACTGTTATAAATACTACTGAAAATATCTATAACCTACATATGCTAATATTTCAGCACCATGCCAATACAATGCTTGTTCTCATATGCAACAATGTAACAATTTATCCTTGTCAAAATATCTAACAAAAATAAAATTAAATTCAATATAAGATATTCCAAATGAGTAATACCAAATCTCAGTATCCTGCATATTAGGAAGCCAAAAAAGAAAATTTTATCTCATTACTTCTCAGAATAATCTTATACATAGTTAAATGCAGCCATAAATTAGTATATCATATTACAAATACTACCTAACATTTCAAAGTGAAATAATTTCAAGTAATTTTATGTGCAATTAATCTAAAATTAAGATGATACGGAACATAACACACAATCTTAATGAAATTCCTATCAATGCAATTACCATGGAAATATAAATGTATGTTATAACACATTCATTTTCTTCTTCTTTTTCTGGTTTAACAATGTTTGTACATTTTCTGGTACCCTTTACGGGTCCCCAACTTTTCAGTTGGCTTGATCTATGGACATTCGGTAGGACTCCTTGGACGAGGGATCGGAGTGTCGCAAGGACTATCTGTATACAGGACAACACAACACAGAAAAACATCCATGGCTTGAGTGGAATTCGAACCCACGGTCCCTGCAACCAAGCAGCACAAGACCCAAGCCTCAGACCGCGTGGCCACTGCGGACCCCACACATTCATTTTCAAAAATGGGTTATTTTGAGTAAATCTTAGTATTGCAAACCTGAATCTGAAAACAAGAATTAGAACCAAGATCCCAGCCAATATTTCCTTTACTTCTGCCACATTCAATATCAACAATCTACGTGCAACTGAACTGTACACAGAGAGATAGAAATAACTTGTGTTCAATTTTATCCAGTTGTCTTAATGTCTGAAATATCATGCTGACTAATAAAAACATATGACAATGGAGAATCACATGTAGTTATTGTGTGCATGAACTGTATCACCCAAGTAAGTTAAAATAAACTCATAAGTTCCCAAGGTTCAATAATACAGACCCATACATGTCAAATATCATGCACAGTTTCATGTCTTAAATTTTGAACGATGTAATTGTACTGTACTATGTACTGTGTATCTGAACATCTTGTGCTCTCTTATTAACACAAAGCATTTCTTTCCAATACGTAGTGTTAGAATTTTACAATATTACACACACAATTCTGATTGGCAGAAATTAAATAGATTACACAATACTTTGTTTATCCCATAAAATTCACATTTACCAATTAACTTAAAAAGATGGTAAAAGTAACGATTCTAAAAATCAGCAAATCTCTCACTTCATTACAACCAATACAAAGAAAAATAACTTAAAAGTAAATTAAAAATGTCAAGAAGTGTAAAAACATTGAACATATACCCAACTATTTTCCCCAAGGCTTTTCTTATAAAATGCAGTCTTCTTTACTTCATATATAATACTTGGTCTTCAACATTATTGAAATCTTAAATGTAGTAAAACTATTTTGAAGAAAATTGTACTTCAATATAAACATATCAAAGTGTTTTTGCAACTTTTTGTAACATCAACAACAAAAATGTGTATAAGATGCAACATACAGGCACATTCCTCATGACTTCAAAATTCAGCGATTCAGAGAAACTAAAGTTCAAAAGCAATAAATACAATGTTCATACTATGTTTAACCCCCTGTGCTCCTACACTGAATAAGAGAACATTGCAGTTCACATATGCCCATTCTCACTAAAAAATCAACCCAGAGATGAGGAGAATCATTTAGTAACAATACAAAGGGAATTATATGCTGTAAGAAATTTAATAACTCAAATGAGAAAAGAAAAAAACCCAATTATTTATGTTTTTACAGCCATACAAAACATAGGAAAAAGCACATTTCATGTTAAGATAAGACATTAAAACATTTTGAACTAAATAATAACAAACACCTCCTAAATTTATTCTTTTTTAATGTAATTATACTTAACTTTTATTGTGGCGTGTGGTCTTCTGAGTTATGATGCCATGTAGTCCTGCGGGTGGTTATCATCATTTCGGAAAAACATATCAATCCTCATCACCAAGGCATTTTTTTTTCTGAAATATTGGCAAACACCCAAAAGACTACATGGTGTCACAACTCAAATTTAATTTTATTAGCTGCTGTTGTTCCTAGGAATTACTTTATCAAATCCCACATGTACTTTATTAGTTATGATTGTATTAAGACTTCACATATTTTGTTTGTCATATGCTGTCATAATTTTTTTAAAAAAAAGCATAAATATTAAAGCTAAAGGTAAAAACCATGCTTATCTGATTTTTAATACAAAATAAATTATTCAATATGAGTATGTCCCCATAAAACAAACACTCAACCAATTATTCTGGTGGGTCTAATGACAAAGACAAAATTGTTTGCAGAAAAAGTGGATTTTGCATTAACACATGTAGTTTTCAAAACAGTACTCTCAATAATGAAAAAAGTTGAAACATCCATCATACTCACATAAATTAGCTCCATGTAACCCTTTTATGATCCCAGGTCTCATTTTATATCACTTGAAAACATATATGAATACAGAACTCAAACAACTTTCAATAATTTCCAACAATACTTCTAGGCAGAGCTGATGGAATGCATGCCTAAAGTCAGAAGGTCACCAGTCATGAAGGGTCAGTGATAATAAAAATGCCTGTTTACAAAATCAATCAGGCTATTTGTTATAACTTATATGATTCATCCCACATAACTTTTATGAGATCACAATGTAGGTAGGAAGTGACCATGAATGCTGATTGGTGCTTTTAATTCTAATGTTTCCAGCTGTCGGTAAATCATTTTAAATGAGATACATGCCTGCATGTCCCATCTTCATGGAGGAATAATGATTCAAAATACTTCAGGAAAGTAATTTCCAGAAGTAGGTTTCATGTAAATACACGCGTAATACTGATGAATATAGTTAACAGTCTTTGTCTTTTGATGCCACAACTTTTAAGTCACAAATTACTTAATTTTGAGCAAAAGAAAAGTATTAGTGATTAGGCAAATTTACTCCTCAAAACTCTTGATACAGTGTTTTAACAGTACTACGAAAAGATCTGCATAAGGACCACAGACAAATTGAATGACTGTAGTGTCAACTCTTGATTATACGCATTAATTGTGGGAACAAAACACAGTTATCCCATATCCTTTAATTGCACTACATTTTAATCACAAGTATCAAATTTCTCATTATACATACGCCTTTCATGTAACCCAAGCAGAAAGTTAATTCCCAGGTCCATGGAAGTATTATAAGATAATACAATTTCATTTGTCAGTTTATGCTGTAAGATGTTGCAAGAACTCCAGGCACTACTTTGGACACTGGTGTGAGTGACCTAGAAAAGCTACAATAAAATGAAAGTGTAGATATTTTCATCAAAACTTAATCTGCCAATGAAAATGATAAAAATCATTTTCCTGTTACTCACTGTAAAGATGACACAAAATCTAAACATATAATCAAGAGCTGACTATAAACACCTGATTTAATAATACAGAGTGATCAGAAAGAATACAACCCATATTAAAATATTTGACAATTACTATTCAGTACAATACAAATGGATTAATAAACAACATAATATCACTGTGACTATATAAGAGCCCATGCAGGAAGTAACCTGCTCACAACAGTCCATCAGTTGCCTTCAAACAGTCAAAGTTCAAGGATCAAGTTTTCACTGTCAAACAGTACCTGGCAGCTCATTCTTACTCAACTTGCCAGAATGAACTCCTATTCCAAAAACAATGACAATATCTAGTCTGGTGAAATGATTCTGTGACACATAAAATCTACAAAGGGTTGCATCAAACATGAAGAAAAGAATAATTGTATGCATCAGTGAATGTGGTGTAAATTTCCAACGCTTAATACAATACTGTTTTTTTTTGTTTTCCGATTTCAGTGTAATTTAATTTTTTACAAATAGAACATATGTCATGAATGGGTTGCATCACTTTTTTATCATCCTGTACAAGTAAACATTAGATACTAACAATGTGCCACATCCATTATTCTTTAATGCAAAGAGTAATATATTTTTCAATTATAAAATCTATAACAAAAAAATTTACAAACAAGAAATTCACATGTTCAGTTTTTAAATTTATACCAAATTAAATAAGTGGTTCAGATGGATTTATATTAATACATAATATGCAGAATTAAAGTTTACATATGCAAAATTAAATGTAAACTAAAATATTCAACCATTGTACTATGAAGTCCCTATGTATCAACCAACTGAATCATTGAAAGATCTATACAAAAAATAATACTATTCATCACCTCATAAGTAATCTACTGGGCCATGTAATGCATACATAACTCATGATCTGAAAACTACAGGTTCATCAAGTCTCATATTGTTTAGTTAACCACTGTGTAATAAATTTGTACTGAAGAATTAATATACAATACTGTCCCTTCCAGACTGACTAGAACAAAAATAACTATTTCAAACATTAAACATTGAGCCTACATAAAAACTAAATTCTCTACTCTATCCAGCCATGTGCCAGTTCAGAAATTAATTTCACAAAGGTATTCTCAAATTAATAAGACAGGCACTCATGACTAGTCGTTAATGTCAATATTTTAGTCTGTAAATTCATGATTTAATGTGGGTTACAATCTGATTCTACTGCAAGCGAGAAAAAGCTTTAATACACATGTTGCAGTACATAAATTTTTAAAATATGATTATGAAAAACAACTGGAGATATTAAACATAATTAAACGTTAATCACATAATGCTATTTCCAGTCATCAGAGGCTTGCATGCATTACAAAAGCAAATGGCTAATTATAATAATAGCAATAATAATAAAAAGGAAATACAAAACATTACACAAAGGAGTGTAAGTATGTCTCAATGCAGTTCACAGAAGAAAAACTGACAGCATAATTACAACACATAAATGAAGATGTAATCAGTTTAGGCACAGACATTTCATTATCACATGTATCTATTTTTCATACTTGAACTGAGGTTCCTCCACACAGGAAACACAGCAAAAAAATTTGCACTGCAGTTCTACATTCTCCTTATTAAAGATAAGTGTTTCCAAAGCTCTCTCTCAAGTACCCTGCTGCAACATCATGTAATGGAATGGGAATAATACTTCAGGAATGGTTCAGAGATAAACATTTCAGTACAGTAAAAATATGTCGGAAAGCATTGCACAACCAAAACTTCCAACTTACACAAAAAACTGCTCCATTAAAAGCCTACCACATGGACAATTAAAATAAGTTTCCCCATAATTTGAGTTCACAGGTACACATCAGAAGGAGCATGCTGTGTTTACCCTGACAAAGTACTAAATTTCTTTCACCTTTCCACTAGAACCCAAACACTGAAGAGGTGGTCACAGAAATCTAAATTCTCTTACAATGTATAACTTTATATGTTCAGCATTACCAGTTCCAAACATCTCAACAAAATCCAATTCATGATGTGTTAATATGTGTTATAAAAGTGTTTCCATAACCAATAGGATAGAGAATGAGACACCCATTAATGTGCTGGCTGTGGGAGACATAAATAACACACATTAATGAGCTTTCACTGTATTGAATATGGCATGTTTTGTACAGTGCAAAAACACTCCCCTTGCTCCACTGCAACTGTGAAATGGAAACTTATATCAATACTCCTCAATATGAATTAAATATAGAATGAGAACTGCAATGTTGTGGCAGTTAATTATGTAATTTATAAATGAAAAGCTGCTTCAATTTGTTAACAATTTTCCACAATGAAATACACAATAGTTATATTTTTAAGTCACTACTGAAAATATACTGACGCTAATCTGTATGTTCTTTACTGTAATTTGGTACTTCAAAAATGATATAAGAAGTCTGTTCACAAACACTAAATAATTATAGCACTATCCTTCATCTACAGGTGTAACTTATTTAACATGCAATAGAAAAATATCACACATTAAATAAACACCTATAGTTTCTGGAAGACATTGAAAACATGTAACACTACATCTAAGACACATGGAAAGAACTGGTACTTTGCTCCATTCATATTACTATCTCAAATCATAACACTATATTGTCCTTACAGATTTTTCACTTGCCTGTGAAGTGGAATTGAAGACTGCTAAAAATGCAAACAAATATAATGAATGATACCATACTCACTCAGTAATTATCACTGATCTTAAAAATTCTTCTAATGTGTATTTCACAACAAAGTAACACTATCACACTAAGCTAGAGATATGAAAGATTGCCTTAGTTATACAGATGACATGCTACCATTTTCTATCAGTTGCATCATTATGGAATTTTTTAAACTATTAGTTACTTGCCAGATACAAAGACCAACTACGAATCAGCAGAATGAAGATGGCTGTCTTCTGGCTTGTAAAGCCATGTAATCTGATACAATTTTACCAACGTTTCAAAGGTCTACATGGCGCTACAACCCAGAAGACAGCCATCTTCATGCTCACTGCCATGAGAACCTCAAATCCTACTTAATCAGCAGTATGTTAAGAAGGTATCTTTCTGGAAAGAAACTAATAATTTTAACAGTCTGCACAACAGTTCCTAATTAACTCCCATTGACTCAGTCAGGAGGAGGGAAGAAATACAGAAGCACTACAGTCGTAACAAAGAAGGTGAGGCAGAGCAAGGATACTAAGCTGTCAGGCTGCGCAGTGTGAGGCATAGTGGACACAGCAGCTTCAAATGTGATAAGCCTCTCTATGGTGCGCAAAACCGCACCCACCCTGAATTCCCCGACTATATCATCGCAAGTACACACGTCCTCCTGCAACATATGTGCAGGGGATCATTAGCCAGCCCAAAGTTACTTCTGATCTGACCTGCAGTAGGCAAGACAGGCTACACAAACTTATATCCCAAACCACAAATATATTATTTCAAATAAATTATGGCTGTAACTTTAATCTTATATAATAATAAATGCAAACCATTAACAAATAATTTTCATTTTCTACTAAATTTTAAAACAATTAAATATGTATACTTAGGTTGACCAGATTTAAGAACTGAACACATTATCATCAAACATGGAATGACTGACAAGAATAGAGAAGCAAAAATCTGACATCTGAATGTTCTGTCTAACCCATGTGTATAATGTAAGTCAACAACATTATTCACAATGATATGGTTTAGTTCTGTATTTGGATGTACTATTCTACTAATCTTACTCCATGAAACATTCTCCTTATTCACAAAAGTTCTCTTTTTTACCAGGAAATGCCCCTCAACACAATAACCAAATCACAAAATTCTGATTATATAGCATGGTTCTCATTTTCGTTGTTTGTTTTTCATCAACAGAAGTAACTCTTGCATATCTCATATTATATATATAAATAAACACATACACACACATACTCTCAGAAATATACATTTTTTTCAACCATGTGAGAACCTCAAATCTCAATTGAGTTCTTAATTAACAACCAGAGGAGCCAGTCAAGTTGCTGAATGGTGAATATGAAGACGTATTTCAATCACACTGAGCTGACAAGGCTCTATGCTGTCTGGTAATGTTGGACAGACTACCACCTTGCAATCTGAACAAATTCATGTTATTTAGGCTGAATTAAAATTCTGGTTGGGATTACAGGTGAAATGACGGAGTCAGGTTAGTTGCTCATAGTAAAATATTTGATTATTTCTATATGTTTAGTAAAAACTACCAACTTATTTTGTATTTCAAGGAGATAATAGAGATCAAACTATTTCTGCCATATCCAAGTAAACAGGGTCTAGTCATATTTAAATCCAATGCAAAAAATCTCAATTAAAAGAAAAATTAACTAAAACACATGTGAACTTCCAATCCATATATTCAGTTGAGTTTTATACATTTTAATACAGATATACATGACAGATTTAATGTATTCTTGTAAAAACTAGGATTTATCATTTTAATGAGGTTGTGTACTTCTGAACTCGAACTTGGACCCCACTTCATATAGTAAGAAATTTTACATTTACTTACTGGACTCTTGATATGTTTATTGTGTTTAATTTATTTATTTATAGTTTATTTAATGATGATTTTTCAGTAGCTCCAAGTATACAGCATCAAATGAGAGGATAGTGAATAACAAATTTGAAAGGATGTGCAAGGAAGCAGCCATGGTCTAATTTAAGGTACTAACCTAGAATTTTACTGGAGGGAATGAGAACACCATGAAAACCCCAGCCAGGATAGCTGGTCTCTGGACCAAGATTAGAGCCCAGGACCTCCTGAATATTAAGCAGGAGTGTTAACCTCTCAACGAAAACATTTGGTTACTGTGTTGAAGTTTTATTTCTTCCTGTTGTACATATGAATGAATAGTCATGTCTAACATAATCTACAAATTGTGTCATCAGAATTTTGGAATTAAAACTTTGAGGTTAAATAAAAGTCTGCTTTAGAAAGGGAAGAAAATTACATAATGAATCTTAAATTAAGACATATATTTCCTGTTCAAAATTGTATTTTGGGCACAGAGTAGCACGGTATGAAAAATGCTGACTTCTCTGGGACAAATAGAAAATAAAACAAAATCTGAAATAAATAAGCCTTAAATGTTTACATTATTATATAATGTAAGACGTGAAATTTTAGAAGACACATAAGGTATCTGGAACAAACACATCAATTTCATCAACTGTCATAAACACTGAAGAGCAACAAGAATCTCAATTCTTGGCAAAGATGGCATGTTTTTGTTTTTTAAATCATATTTGCATTCAACAAGTACAGTTGGGGCATTCCATGTCCCACCAGTATCTGTGTCCCTTGATAGAATACTACAAGTGTGACAGCATATAAATCATGTTACTATAAAACCACCTGGTCAAACCATGTAAACATATAATTACATCCTCCACCACAACATGACTTAATTAAACAGTTAACAAACAACAGCAAAAACCAAAATGTAAATAAGTTCATGTATCAATAGCTGATCCCAAACAAACACAAGCCTTCTTATAATGTGGTAGGAAACAGAGAAGCTTTATGGCCAGCACATGCAAATTAAGAACTGAAACTTAAAATAAAAAGAAGAAAATAAAGGACCACAGCTACAGACCAGAAATACCTATTGACAAACTGCAAAGAATAAAAAGCTATGCTAATAGTCTGCTCCCAATTAAAAAATGCCAGGATATCAACTATTTGAAGAAGTAAATTTGTGAGTGAATAACAATTAGTTCATATTTAAAATAATCATATGGGTACTACTCAAAATGTAACCAGCTCAGAATGAAGCTGATAATAAATGTAGAATCAACTTTCCAATTGTATAGAGAAGCATTTACTAATTATCCTGAATAAATTAATGGAGAAAGAATGCCTTCCTTGCTTGGACTATTTGTCCTATATTTCTTCCCAGTAAAATTCATATCTTGGTGTAGTACGACCTAACTATGCAACTGTAGGTAACTTACAAAGTATAAATATAAACAGTAGTCAACAAGAACAGTGTCAAGTTCATAACAAATGTATTCATGTACTGCAGAAGACAACTGTAAAGTGTAACCACTGAATTTCTTTTAGGAATGAAAAACATGTCTGAAATCATAGCAAGTATCTTGGCAGTGATACCCATACAGCGGAGTCTAGTCTCACTAGCATTCTATGATTTTTAAGTAGATCACTATACATCATGCATTGTATTGTAACACATCATACACTAATAACTGTAAGACTAAATAATAATAATTATCTGGTTTTAAATAAGGCTATTTATCTGGAATAATGTAAATATATCACCCAATACTTTGTAAATCATCCAATTTGGTTTATGTACTGGAAAGCATAAGGATAACCAGCTTAATAAGGAAAACATACTGCATGGGAATTGTTACACTATAAGTGAATCTGTTTTGAGGCATGAAATATCTGACATCTTACCTAATGAGGGCCTAGAAATGGCATTCACTTTACATTCTGATACAGCACCTATACTGTAGTATATTAGATGACATGTTATTCAAGAATAAATAGTTACTTATTTATGTAACCTTACGCAAAAACATGGAAGTTATACATAAGTAAAGACACAACACAAAATATATTTATAAAACATTATAGTCAAACCTCACAGATCACAAAGATTGTGTTCTTTTCTCATAAGAAGACAATCCCTCCCCACTTTTTTACATTATCCAATGCTGAACTACAACAGTAAATAAAGATATTTTAACATAAATCTTTTCCCAAGCATTTGCATGTGTCCTGTCATTTCCACAGACATAAACAGCTTCTTTTAAGGTTTCAGTAATTAATCAGCTAGTTGAATGTCAATTCATTGTGGAATTTCCTACATAACCATAGTTCAGACCTTGGTGCAGAACAGCTGTAATATGACACAGCTGGCAAAGTTATACATACTGAAGAGCAAAATAAAGCAACAATGCACTATGTAACATATACTGAATAAAACAGTGCACATTAACTTCTATGGTGCATACAACAAAACTTCTTAAAGTTGAAGTCAGCATCTGACTGCACATGATAAAGCACCTAGGCCATGACTAGACAAATCCACAACTGGCAAGTTCTTTCGTAAACACTTTTCTTTCAAACAAACATACAGTTCTACACCAAACACTACAAAACAGACCACAAATACAAAATGTTATATCTATGCTAAAAATACAACAAAACAGAAGGAAATCTGAGAACCAAATCAGGAGAACGGTGTGTTAAATCATTGTCAGCCACAGTAAGTAATATTCCAGCATTTGCAAACCTCTTGCACCATTGTGGATTTTGAAGTTGTCAACAACAAAAAATTACAGCTAATAAAATCAAAATATAATGATCAAATTCTTATACAATTCCTGCAGCAAACTTTGTTCCTTACCGCACAAAGATTTCTGTGAATGTTGTAAAGAAAAATGCAAAGAAAGAATGCAAGTGAAAGTATGTATCCAAAATAACTACAATTATAACAAAGCAGAACAGAAATAATATATAATGAACAAGTTAAGGGTAACAAGTTTTACAACAGTCTTCTAATCAGCAATATTTAAATATAGTATGATGTATAATTACATCTATATATGAGACATCACTACATTCAGTTTCTAATGAATCCCTTATGATGACAATAAAGATCAACAAATGTAAGTCAAAAATGTGAAGTTGTCCCCCAGTGCTTAACTAAGCACCACACTATGCAGACTTATGGATATGGGGGAAAGAAGGTTTCTTAACTTCTTAACTTCAGCACTACATGGAGAAGCTTCAAGTGCCGACTACTTTACCCCCAATGAAAGAACCCCAGGATCCACTGGATAGGAAGCTGAATGGACTCCAAAGCCAGTCTGTATAATAGGGCAAAGAGTAAAATTCTGCCTTTCTGGGTATAAAACCCTGCCCACAGCCTAGTCACTATACTGACTACATGAAGGTTGAATATTATAATTTTAATACACTGTGCTTATAATAAATCATAATCTGTACCTTTGACGAGTCAGACAATACCAATTGAAATATGTGAAAGAACTTCAATGCTATAGGGCTCAAGTTTTGACTGTCTGTTTGAGAAGCAATGTTATTTCAGCAGATATGATTACACTTTGTAAGTTCCTGCTGCTTTGTTGTTTCACCAAGATAATCACAAACAGAGCACTTTAAAACAATACATTAAGTTGTATGTCGGAATGCATGCCTAAAATATTTATAGAAACAACACAAAGAAAAGCTTCAAGTGTAAGCATGAAACATGGTTAAAAATGTATGCATTAAAATTAGGATACTTAGTTAGGTAACTTTAAAATTTAAACTTGACTGCAGTGACTTCAGAAAGTTCCTTGAAATTAGACAGTAAAGGGGGCTAAGCAACAAGTAACATGCTCAGAACAAAATAATAATGCCCAAATGCACCTACCTCTTCTACTCCAATCTTCCTACATGCTTCTAGAAAATTGTCCACATTTCTTCGACACCTTGCCATTGTTAGTTTGGGCTGAAGTATAAACAGAGATATTACAATATGAAGGCACAAGAAACACAAAGCGTGTTTGTATAAAATATATAAATACAATTCTTCACCAAAGAAACTCTTATATTCAGTTTTTCAAGCACAATGTTTCAAAGAAATTCACTTTCAGTAACTATAGGCTAATATGTCTATTATCTCCCATTCTGGCCATTCTTGCCATTTTATAATCTGCTGACTGTAATAAGTCTTCCTCTATGTTACTGTTGTTTTAAATCTAATATTAAAAGGTCATTTTATTCTACATTAAAGTCTTTTAGAATAACACTACATTCAAACCAACATAAAAAAAAGGAAATTTATGTATTCAACAACAGAAAATTAAACAGTAAATGCTACCAGATGATCATATTTTGGTTTGAAACATTGTAACTATAGAAGGAACTTAAGCTTGAAAAGCAATCTACACACTACTCTCTTCCTGTAAAACTAAGTTTTATAAGAAATTGTAAAATTCTTAGAAACTATTAATAAAAATTAACTGAAAAAGCAGTTCACCTTTAGTTTTGAAAGCTATATTACGACAACAAACATTACAACCGATATTGTAAATTGGCACTTTATGTTCAGTCTTACATACTGTACATAGAATGATGAAATGGCAAACATACTTTACAGAAAATTACCATTTTCTAAATAGCATAACCTTTATGTAATGAAGTCTAAACTTCTAATACCATAAGATTAACTGAAATGGGTTTGTGCCATGTTCACAACAAACAGCTGCAAAAGTAAGTCTATTAGCTTCACTATGTCTGCCTGTCCATCCATATACCTACCTCCATGTAACAACTTGAAAACTGAAGATTTTCATGAAATCTGATGATGCAGTTTCACTAAAATTTGTTATCACATTCCAGTTTTGATTCAAAGTCAACATTTTACATGAAGACTACATGCATTCTGAGCAAGTCTTATGCATAACTTACTGAATATTTTATCATAGCAAAAACATTTTAAAAAATATAAGAAAAAATAAAACAAATTTTATGCTCAATACCCTCTCTCTCTATCCATAAACCTTAGTCTTTTAAATAATTAAGCAAAAGAAATGTTTATGCTGTGTTAGATATATTTCCTATCTTATTACTTTTATTTCATGCAAAGTGCTTATTATACTTGTCTTTTCACGCTGTATTACTATTCTACTTTACATGTCTTGACATATTATAGAGCTCTGAACTCTCATGCCATCCTAACTTCTTTTAAAATCAATGTTCTTATTTCAACATGAACTGCATTACAGTATATTTATTTGACATTAACTTTGAGTTGTTTATTGTCTTGCTCTGATGTATCATTCAGTATCACATTAGTTTCTAAGATTGACATTATGATGTACTGTATAAGGTACAGCTGAAGGACAATTTACATGCCATCTTCACTAAGGCCAAATTTCAAATTAAATGTGTTGTAATAACTATTATGCTGCAGATAGGCAAAGAGAAGAAATGCATACCAACATTTCTGCACCAACTACGGACACAATGCAGAAGCACCAACTAGCAATCTACTCAGATCTAAAAAGCCTAAAGTAAAACAACCAATTAAATGATTCAACTTACCACTGCTGGAGAAGGAACATGAATGCTGGCAACAGATCGTGGTCGTACATGATTTGCCAAGTGACATAAGACTACACCGTCTGTCAATGCAGGAGCCATGTCATCTGGTAATGACATTTTCAGTCGTGTCTCAATATGCTGGAAATAAAGCACAACCAGAGCTGAAACCAAGCTCTTAAAATTTGAAATATATTAAATGTATATAAAATGACCACACATTATTAGTATAAACCCAGAGAAGCTGTTTAATAAATAAAGTTTATTTCACTATAATTTTGTGTTTATCCTGCATACTGTGTAGATATAATCCCATTAACTACAGATATGCAAGTGGTTAAAATCTGTTCATGCAGTTGGCAGTTCTGTACTGTTTCACATGGTACTTCAAAAAAATCTGGGCTAGAAGTACATACAGCGACACTGTACCATTTAAACTCGAGGCTGCTTGTTCACATCAAAAAGACCCACTCATACAAACATACACAGACATATACTTTAGAATTTTTCAGCAGCTATTACACAAAGGAAAGTCCATGTGTGGAAGGTTTCAATGATGCAGTAAAAGTAAAACCTCAAGCGACAGAGTAAATCAAATTTTGTCGGAGATTAGAAAAGTCAGAAATGGAAAAGGTACAAATGCGTGAACAGAGTATGGCAAGGTCCCACGCCAAGGTACAAGCATGGTATCACAGGTTCAAGGATCAACATGAATTGTTGTAAGATGACCAGTGCAGCAGACAAGACTGCAACATCAAAGAACATGGACAATGTGAGACATGTGCAGGAGATTATGTGATCTGATCCTTTTCAGATAACGCAGGCAGCTGCAAAGAAAGTTCAGATTTATGATGGCAGCTACTACACTACCATCAGTAAAGATAAGAAGATTAAGAATGCTAATGCAGGAACAATGTGATGAATGCATAAGGATCAATGGTTTGCTCATCAATAGATCACATAACAATTCAGGACTGTCAAAAGACTGCCACAGGTGACAAAAAATTATATTTGCTGCATGCAAGTAACTAACACTGAGCATCACACAAACAAGAAGATGTTTCTTCCCGAGAGATGTACAGGTGACAAGCAGAGGTACATTAAGACCATTCACCCAAGTTTCCCAAAATAAAGGAAGTCAAAACTCATGTCCCTGCATGACAATGCCCCAGCACAGTAGCAGTTGCTTGTGCAGAATCAATTTACTAAGAACAATACTACAGCGCTTCCCTAGTCACTGCACACTCACAGTCATGCACTGTATACTTCTTACCTCTCCACACATAAAGAATTGGTTGAAAAGTTGTAATTTAAAGGATGTACCAGAGATTAAGTCACATCAAAGTCTACACTGCAGGTAAAGATGATCAGAATAAATTTAGAACAGCATTTTAGTATATGTTCAATTAATCAAACCATGTTGCAGATTATGTGATATATCACATAGCAAAAATCAAAATTGGATAATAGAGATCTAAGTATATAAAGTTGGTTTGTGTTGCTTAGCACACAAGTTCACAAGTTTAGTACATACAAATTATTTAAAAGATTAAGCTTTGTTTTGAATTATGACCATGACAGAAATTAAGCTTAAAAAAAGATGTTCAATTATGTTCTACTGTATACTTATAGCCAAAAATTCATATAACCCTGCATTTATATTGCATGACAGATACAGAAAATTAACACACGCAATATGTTTTCAGCAATGAAAGACACAAATAGATTCACATTATAATAGGAACCACCTTCTTAATTATAATTTTGAATAAACTACAGACACTGAAATCTGTTTAATAGGCAAAATCTTCTCTTGAAGGAAACATTAAAGACTAACAAACAAAACTCATTACATGAAAGATGTTTTGCTATATTATAAATAAATGATGCTGGTGTGTGATGATTAAACTTACACTTCGTAATTGTTCTATGAGCTCTGCCTCCTCACGAGCTTTGTCAAACTCTCTTCTCATGGTAAAGCTGAGCTTCTCAGGTGGAACATCTCTGTTCCATGTAATTCCACGGCTTGTTCCTATTTTAGGCGATCTAGTACCTGGCTGGCCCAAGGTTGAGGGTCGATGTTGACTGCCATTGGCAGTAACAGGAACTGGTGAATGTACATAACCCACAGAAGCAGTGACTAGTTTAGGGCTGAGAATGCCAGTAGAGCCAGGAAGATGGGCTAAGCTTGTAGGCGTTTTGATAGGAGAACTTGGTTTGATATAACAACCTCCATCATGAAGTCCACTTGTAACTGCACCATTTTTCTCTCCATAATCCAGTCTGCTTCCATTAACTAAGGAAGAAGCTGAAGCTTGGAAAGTAACAGCTGAGCAATTTCTTGAAGGAATCACTTTCTGAACTGGCCTTTTGTGAACACCATCATCAAATATTTGTTTTGAATTAGTCTGTGTTTCTATTCTGTTCTGAAGCACAGGAGATTCAGAGCTGTTTTGGAGAATGTCCTAGTCACAAAAACATGACATGTCATGAGCTTTATATATTATTTACCAACTTAATTCCCATAAAATTCCACAAAGTAAAAATTATTTATAAAACAACATACATGGTTTGTGTGGTTTATTAAAGCTTGCGGTTGGTTCGTGTATGAACTTCCTGAACTTCCATCTTGTTTCAACAGTTCACTGCTAACTGACATGGTCTGCTGAGCGCCATCTCCAGACATTCGAGGCCTATACACACCATCATGAGCTCTCTGTTGCCTTAAAGCTTCCTTGTACTCTCTGCAGGGTAGGTACATAACATTCATTACTGACATAACAGCCATGCATATTAAAGTATGTTCAATCACAAAATATCTTTTGCTACTGAAACCTACCATTACATAATTCCAGATGTAAAACAGGACTACAATTATAAATCACATGAAAAAACATTTACAATTTAACACTGTACTTGACTAAATGTTTAATTGTAACTATAAATAAATTAAGAAGGAAATAATTAACCCACTCAATGTTGGTATAACATATGAAGTACTTTCATTCCATGTACTTGGTAAAAACAGAAGAAAAAAGCACAGGTTGTTTGAAAATAATAATTTTCTGGTGTTACAGTGGAGTTCTATTACTTGTATCACTTAATGAGCATTATATATAAAACAAAAATTATGTAAAAAGAAATGTCCATTACAAGAAACCATCTTTGTTTGCTACTAGAAAAGACTGTGTGTGTCCTGAAAAATAAAATGAACTCTTATTATACACATCAAAAGTAGTTACAATAAACTGGTATTCATAGCAGAAATGTCCAAAATAGAAAACTTGATGTGCTGAAGTGTGCTGAAAATGGAGAAAAGTAAAAGTGTCCGAGATATTTCAATATTCATAGTTAACACATGGCAGGATTATGATGTTGCTGTGTTGACAAATCATACTCGCAGAGAAGAGATTTAAATCAGAAACATGAACAGAATTATAAAACTACCAAACTTAAAACTCTAAACTCAACATACAAATAAACATACAGTGCCTTACTGCTTTTGGCAGAATTTCACAGTAAGACAAAATTACAAATACACCAAAACCTTAATCTGAATAAAAGTATTTACTTTTAAAAGAAACGAAGAAAGACATTTTACTTACAATACTGGTATCGCATGTACTTTTCTGGCCAACTATTATTCAGGAAATGCAAGTAACTACACAAGTAACGAAAACATGAGCAAATAAGAACTGAACAAAAAATTAACACTATGACACAAAGCATACACAGCAGGACATCTTCAGCAAAACTAGATTATGAGGAAAGAATTATCTGACAACACACAGGTACTTTTCCAAAATAACATAACTTATTATAGATGATACGAATTTATTTTCTGAATGTCTACTGCAATGTTCTACTGCATCCACAACAAATACATTTAAAATTTGTTTTATCGAAATAACACATACTCAAGTCTCTATTTTTTATTTCAACCATTCTGAACCTCCTCATCAATAACACCAAATATGTCTCTATTCCTCTTAACATATGCTCAATATCTACAAGGATGTGTGACACACAGTACGAACCTATATGTTTGTATGTGTTCCAGAGGTCTCTTATCCTCTTGGTTTGGAACCAAACCATTCCCATTCATAGCAAGTTCTGCTGTAGGAGACAACCCAGTTCCATTTGCCATAACTTTGTTAACACTGTTGGAAGGAAACCTTGGGCTGTAAATGGAAACATCAGTACTGACACACACCAATACAAAGCACGACAATTAATTGCAGCCACTCTAATTCCACTTTAAACTGCATGCACAGTACAAATAGCAAAAAAGATTTCTGGTAAAGGAAATCTAAAACTTTATAAAATAACTATTTGTCACTCATGCCCATAACATATCCACCAACACAACAATTTTATTATTATTATTATTATTATTTAAGAAGGCCGCTGCACCATCCAATACAAATTAGTTTCCTACACACATTCAGTTTATCACACAATCAAACTTCTTCACACTAAACATTATCAGTTTATGAAATTCAAATTCAGCCTCATGAAATGTTTGGTAAAAAAATGTTCAAAAGTGAAGGGAAAAATTTAAATCTAT